CTGCTGAATTATCTCTTTGGGACTTAAGCTTCCACCAGTGGGAGCCCAGCCAGTGTTCTGTGCCTTCCCTGAATTTCTTAGGAGTCTCGTTGTGGTGAAGTGGTTTTTTCTGTTCTTCATTGCAAGGCTTCTCTCCAGCTAGTGTTCAGTTGGTTATTCAGGATGATTTCTCTACAATTCAGCTGTAATTCCAGATTGGTTCTGAGAGGAGGTTAGTGTAGCTCCCACCTACTCCTCTGCCATCTTGGATCCAACATGTAGATGTGTTCTGTTGAAGATTCTGGGTTGCCTGAACTGACTAAGAGGACCTCTCCTCAGCCCCCAACTCCCAACCTTCCCCTTCCCTTGCACTCTTGCTCCCCCCTTCCTTTCCCAAATCTCCATTTCCTCCTTGCTCTCTGTGCTTAAAATAAAGTCACACAGTTCCTGTCATGCTTGCCACTCTTTTTTTGTCCATTATTTCAGGCCTGGAGGGAGTGTATGGGATCTCTAGAAGGGCATTCAATGTGTTGGGGACTGCTAAGGTCATACCAGCTATTTATTAATTGGTGTGCTTAGGGCTGGGAATACTGAAGTTGGGTGTTTTCATGACTCAGGGATCCTTGGGGTAATTCTCAAGTGCTAGGAAATGTCTGGCACAGTGCTGGCTCATAGTAGGCACTGAGCAATGTTGATAGAATGAATGAATTCATCTCTAAGTTTTCCAATTTCTCATGGGCCAAAAAATTAAAATTGCTTGTTTTGTTGGAGAGGATATAATTTTTTACATATTGCCGATCAAAGTATAAATTGTTATTATAATGACTTTGGCAAGTATTTTTTTGTGTATTGTAACATTGAACATTTGGCCATTCTATGATCAAGAAATTCCACTCCTAGGTGTATATAAAAAAGAGAAATTGTTGCATGTATGCATCATGAGACATTTACAAAAATGACCATAGTGCCAGTTTTGTAAGAGGAAAAATAAAACAAAACAATAATACAATTACATCACCTGTGGTATATTCACTCATTAGAATACTAGGAATCCTAGTGGAGGAATCTGAGTTACATAATATATATTTTTTAAAAAAGCAAGTGCCCCTTTTTTGGTTAAAAAACAACCAAAAACAAGAACAACCCCAGAAAAATATTATTAGGCATATGCATGTTTGTGATAAAACTAAAAAAAAAAAAACAAGGGAATGATGACACAAATTCAAGGTAGTATGCAGGTAGATATAGATTATTAGTAATGTTATGGTTCTTGTGTCAGCAAGGGGGCTCATGGGTATTTAATTTTTGTTATATTATTAATGAAGTAATAAAATCAATGTGCTACTTATAAAAAATTAACGTAAAATGTGAATTCATAAGTTGAAAGTGAAAGAGCACATGAAAGTAATTGGTTAGAGGATCAAGAGTGCATTGTACATAGTAGGGGTGAGTAATTTTTCATGAAACTTATTTAGGTTTATCTGCATGGATATGTATGTAGATACTGATTCATGGTATAAAATAGATTTCTTATTTTGAGTTGTGGTTAAAAAAGTTTGGGGGACTTCTGGTCAAAGTGGGGGAGTAGGTAAATGCAGCTTACCTCCTTGCACAACCACATCAAAATTACAACTAAAATATAGAACAACCATCACTCAGAACTGTCCAAAATTGAGTTGAATGAAAGTCTGACAACTACAGAATTAAAGACACCACATACATCTTATATGGGTAAGGAGATAAAATGTGGAATGGGCTGGTCCATGTGTAGTGGATAAAAAGTTGGGAGGAATATCTCAGGAGCAAGGAGTCCCAGCCCCATACCATGCCTCCCAGCCCACTGTCCCAGTGCCAAGAAGATAAGTACCCATGACTTCTAGCTGAAAAAACCAGTAGGGATTGAGTTGGTGGAAGAAACTTCTGGAGCTCCAAACAGTTCCTCTTCAGAAACCTACACATGGACTTACTCCAGCACTGGAGTAGCAGCTTGAAGGGTACCAGTGGCATATGGAGAGGAACTGAAGTGCCTGGCATCAATGTGAGAGCAGGGGGACAGCTTACTCCAGAAAGAAAAGCTGGCAGAAGCCATTGTCCCTTTTCTTCCCCCAACACAGCCATGGAGCCTGCAGGTGGGTGCCATATCTGAGACTCCATAAAACTGGCTAACACTGTTTGCTTTGCCCTGGAGATCCCCTGAGACTCTGCCCCACCCAACTTCCAGACCCAACTTCCAGGTTAAGAGTGGCTTTTCCATATGAACGGCTGGTCTTGGCTCATGCTTCACAAATTCCTAAATCCTCTCAAGCAAGCAACAGCCAGCCTCAGTGAGCCTCCAGCCACTATACCTTTTGCTAATTGGCCCCAGGCATGGTACTAGTAGCAGCCAGCCTAGGTTCACAGCTTGGTTTCACCTGGGAAACTTTAAGCCCAGCATAAGTCATCAGCCATCTAAGATTGCTTTATATCTTATACAGAGTGGCTCCAGGCAGAACATAGGTGGGGGCTGACCTTGGCCTGCACCACCTGGGAAATCCCAGAGCCTACAAACCCTATAGTGGACAGCTATAGAAAATGTTGGCATACCACCACCCTGACTGTGCACAACTGATCCTCCACAGAGGTGGTGGTTGGTGGTCAGTGGTCACAACTGGTCTTTGAAACTGACTGGCCTAGGTAATTCCCTCCCATTGATCTGCCAACAACAATCAAGCCTCAACTACAAGAGGAGGGTGTACTCAGCCTACATGAAGGGCGTACCTCAAGTACCCAGCTCGGATGATAGGGGAGGCTACCACTGGACCCTACAGGACACCTTCTACATTATCCATGTTACCAAGACAAGGAGTCATAGCAGCTCTACCTAATACATAGAGACAAACACAGGGAGGCTGCCAAAATGAGGGGACAAAGAAACATGGCCCAAATGAAAGAACAGATCAAAACTCCAGAAAAAGAACTGAGCAAAATGGAGATAAGCAATCTATCAGATGCAGAGTTCAAAACACTTATTATAAAGATGCTCAAGGAACTTAGTAAGGACCTCAACAGCATAAAAAGATCCAGTCAGAAACAAAGGATACACTAATTGAAATTTATAGGAAACAATTACAATTTACAGGGAAATAACAGTAGAGTGGCTGAAGCCAAGAATCAAATCAATGATTTAGAATATAAGGAAGCAAAAAACAACCAATCAAAACTAGAAGAAGAAAAAAGAATCTAAAAAAATGAGGATAGTTTTGACATTCTCATCATAGGGGGGACCAGAAGGAGAAGAGCAAGAAATTGTAAATCCATTTGAAAAAAACAATGAAAGCAAACTTCCCTTATTTGGTGAAGGAAATAGACATGCAAGTCCCAGCAGCACAGAGAGTCTCAAACAAGATAGATGTTTGGCCCACTGCAAGCTACATCATAATTAAAATGCCAAAGGTTAAAGATAAAAAGAAAATCTTAAAAGCAGCAAGAGGAAAGCAAATAGTTACCCAAAAGGGAGTTCCCATAAAACTGTCAGTTGATTTCTCAAAAGAAACTTTGCAGGTTAGAAGGAATTGGCAAGAAATATTCAAAGTGATGAAAAGCAAGGACTACAATCAAGATTACTCTATCGAGCAAAGCTGTCATTTAGAATTGAAGGACAGTTAAAGAGCTTCCCAGACAAGAACTAAAAGAGTTCATTATCACCAAATCATTATTATATGAAATGTTAAAAAGGACTTATTTAAGAAAAAAAATCAAAACTATGAATGATAAAATGGCAATAAATGCATATTTATCAAAAAATTGAATCTAAAAACAAACTAAGCAAACATGAAGAACAGAGACAGAATTATGGATATGGAGAGTGTTTTCATGGTTGCCAAATGGGAGAGGGATGTGCAGGGATGGGTGAAGAGGTGAGGGGATTAAGAAGTATAAATAGGTAGTTACAGCATAGCCATGGGGATGTAAAGTACAGTATAAGAAATGGAGTAGCCAAAGCACTTATACACATGACTCCTGGACATGAACAATGGTTTGGGGAATGCCTGAGAGAGTGGGAGTTGCTGGTGGAGGGGGGCAAGGGGGAAAAATCAGGACAACTGTAATAGCATAATCAATAAAATACAATTTAAAAAAAAACAAGTAAAAAACGTTTGATAGGCTCCTAAAGAACTTCTTGCCAAGGTGTGCCAGTAGATATGAACAAAAAGTTCATAGCAGCATTGTTTGGTATAACAAAAGCAAAAATACACATGTGCATATTCATAGGAGAATGGAGGATTATTCATACACTAGAATACTATGCAACAACAACAAAAAAGAAACTAATGGGCAAATCTCACATATGGGATGTTGAGGAAAAGCAAGTTATAGATGCATACAGGGTAATTTTATTTATATAAAACATAAAAGCAGTCAAAATTAAATGATTGCTTAAGGGTTCATTCACACATGATAAAATAAGAAAGAAAAGCAAGAAAACGCTTAACACAAAAACCAGGATAGTGGTTACTTTGGAGATTGTATGGGGTCAGGGACGAAGGGTCTCACAGGGGGCTTTGAAGGTACTGGTGGATACACAAAGATTCATTTTATTATTTTTGCATTTAAATGATTAAATGTATGTTACATATAACTTTTTCACATGTATGAAGAAATTTATGAACAAAAAGAAATGCCAACAGCAGCTTGTGCTCTCTAGCCCTGTGGTTACTTTGGTTTGGAGTTATAACCCCAGCTTTCTTACCTAGTCTTGAAACTGGAGTCCCCATTCCCAGGTTCTCTCCCTCCTGTCTGTCTTCCCCATTGCTACCAGAGAGGCCTCCCCAAATTGCATATCTGATACAATGTGGATGGTCTGCTCATACACATTTTGTGGCTCCCCACTGCCCACTATGTAAGCCCAAACTCCTCATCTCCACACATTTCTCCTACCTGAATTACCCTTTCCTCCCCTTCCTTCCCCTTCTTTGGGCCTATTCCAGGCCAGGGACCTCCACTTTTCCAACTGAGCTCACTGAATGGCCCCCTTGTACTCCATGTCAGAACTCCACAACTGTAACAAGGTGAGGTCACAAAGCTCTTAAGAAGGAGGAGGCCTTCTCCTCAGAGGAGAGGATTCTGGAAGCTCCTTCGACTGGAGCTCAGCTCAGTGCTCACGGGAGGCTTGAAGACTATACAGCTCTGCTCATCATGGTAAGACTTTCCCGCAGTTCACAGGCTCACATGGGATGAAGGGTCTTGGACTTCATCCACGTCTGAGATAAGCTTGTCTGCTGTGTCTACAGCGTTTGGGAACTGGAGCAGAAAACAGTGGGAAGTTGGGGGAGGATGAGGCAGAGATTGGTGGGAGATGATGTTTCTTAGCCTATTCATATATTTTCCTCCAAACCTCATCTTCCCTAGCAGGAAGTTTGTACTGAGCTGGTGTGAACAGTTCCTATTCTTTGGGTGAAAGAGGTGTGTGACTTTATCTGTCTCTCAGAGTGTAAAGAGCATGGGCTTAAGAATTAATCTGGCTCAGCTGTTGACTGGTTGGGTCACTCATGTCCCTCTGTGTCCCACCTTCCTAGTGTGGTAGATGTTATGAGCATCAGCTTGCTCAAGGAAAGGCAGTGGAGACAGTAATATCTACCTGGTCTACTGCACAGGTGGTCGTGGGCCCCAGTGAGGGGGTGGAGGCAAAAGACTTTGAAGAGTATAAGGCATTGTGCTAGTGTTGCTTACTGTGCCCAGGCTGTTTGTATGTTGGACTGTGGAGACCAGGTGCAGGAAAGGAAAAGCCACTGATTCTGTTCCTTGTAGACAACGCTTCCCATTCAGATTCTGGCTCCTTCCCTTCAGTTTGCAGGAGGAGCTGGAATCTGGATTAGTCTCTTATTGACGTCCATCAAATTAAGGAAGTTTAGTCATACTTAGGTTTTTTAAAAGCATTTTTAAAATTAGAAATTATTGAATTTTGTTCAAAGCTTTTTGTATTCATTTAGATGATATATAAGTGGTGAATGTCAATTGATTTCCTAGAGTGGATTTCCTATTCCTGGGATAAACCCTATGTGATTTCAGTTCAAAAACTCAGCTCAGTAGGTTGTTGCCCTGAGTTATTGCCCCTTGTCCCTGAGTTCATGCTACTTCTGGATCTCCAGGCCTGGTGGAACACCCACCACTATGCCAACCAAGTTCATTTCATTTTCCCAACAACCTTTGTGGACAGGATATATTACCATCCCCACTTAACAGATGGAGCAGCAGAGGCCCAGAAAAGTTGGATGATCAGTCCACGGTAGCATGTGGGTGGGTGGGTAGTTGACTGTTTTATCAGCCTCAGTCAAGTGCCCTTATTTACTCTCCTCACTTCCCTGATCCTCCCCTCTCTCTGCTGCCCCTACCTGCAGTGTGAAGAGACACAGGTGACCATGCAGAGACACATGCAGAGTCTGAGGCACAGCAAGGAGGAGCTGAACAGTCTTAACCAGGCCATCCAGCAGCTGACTGTGGAGGTGGACAGTGCGAAGAATCGGGTGAGGGGTGAGAGGGGTAGGGGGCACAGTGGTGACGGATGGGTGTGTCCATTGTTTGTGACAACTAGACTAGAGCCCCCCATCCTTTGAAATAGAGTTTCTATTTGTAAATGTTTGAGTAAATGGGAGTGTGGCTGTATGTGTATGTCATGCTTACATTTGCCTGTGACTCTATTGTGGGTAAGTGATTAGCATGCAGATACATATGTTTGAATATGCATGCTGTTTTGTATATCTTTTTTTATGTGTATGTACATTTGTATGTCTGTGCTTTTTGTTTGTCCTACGTAGCATTAAATTTGAACTCATCTCCAGAAACTGCAAGATTTTACCTAGAAATCCAGTTTTCTGAGTTCTCTGAAAATGTGCAGATCTGGCGACATTAAACTATGATCCCCCATGGTAACATCTGGCTAGAGGAGAGAGGCCCCTGTCCCCCCCACATGGGGACATGCTCCTTTGTGTGCCACAGCCCCCCACTCCAACTGCCTCCTTTGACACGGAGGCAGAAGGTTCTTCACCATTTATCTCCCCTCCCCTGTGGAAGAGGACAGGTGCTGAGGCTAGGTCTCTTTCTAAGGTTGAGAAATGAAAGGCAGGGAACATGAAAACATGGTGATTTCAGGACAGTGAGAGCATGCATACTTCTCTGTGGAACGGGCTACTGTTGCAGGTAGTTAACATTCGACCTTTACCTTTTGATGCCTCTAGCCTCACCTCTGTAGGCATTTGTGTTTGTGACTTGGGCTGCAGGACTGAGAGAGGAGAGTTCCCACATGAATGCTTTCTTTCTCCTGACTTCTTTCCCTGTCCACCTCCTCTCTTTTCTCCCAGCATGCACTCTGTCAAGCCCTCCCAGCTCACACTCCAAACTGCCCAGGGAAGGGGTTCTGCTTTGATCTTTTCTTGCTTTTTGCAGAGAGAAGTGTCTCAGGCTCCGAGGGAGACTTGTGGGGATTCTCCCTTCTTCAGGAGCTGATGACTCTGAGGGGACTAGCTGTTCAGGTTCCAGGGGTGGCAGAGTGAGAGGGTAGTCATGTTGGGGTGCAGTCTCCCACCAGCCACAGCTGCTCTGATCCCCTCTGCTGGCTTCCTAAGCAGCAAGCGCACCTCCTCAAGGCAAGCAGCTATTATTATTTTCCCCAAAGACTACAAATTTTAGTCTTCTGTGAGAACAAGGTAGCCTTCTTATTAGTTTCCCTGACAAAACAATAATGCCAGCATTTTGTACTAAGGAGCATTTGATGCTTTTCGCATCTGAGCTCCTATTAGAAAGTGTCACTATACTGGTGTAAAAGGCTTTCTCTCAGCCATCCCTGATGGCTGGTGCCAAATCTCCCTCTTAGTAGTAGTGTGGACACACACACACACACACGTTTCACAACAGGCATGTTCACCCTACACAATGATCTGTAATTCTCATTGGCTTTCCATCCTCTGAGAAAGGTCTGGACCCTTGAGGGGAAATAAGTGAGGACCAAGGGTGACCTTCTGTCTGTGGTCTTCCTTTCACCCTCAGCCCTGCAAACTAGAAGGAACCAAGTACTCGCCAGCTCTGCAGGAGGAGGGTGCCTCAGGCAGTGCCAAGGGCAAGCTGGCTTCGCTGGAGGCCGCCTTGCAGCAGGCCAAGCAGGACATGGTGCGACAGCTGCGGGAGTACCAGGAGCTCATGATCGTCAAGCTGGGCCTGGACTTTGAGATCGCCACCTACCGCAAGCTGCTGGAGGATGAGCAGAGCAGGTGAGGGGTGCTTCAGATACAGCAAGCATACAGATGGGGTTGGGTGGGAGGTCATCACCTGGGCCTTAGCAGCTGAGGACAGGGTGGGGAAAGGTGACCTGAGTATCCAGGAACTTGTTTTCCTGGAGCCAATTTGTTCCCAATATTCAACAGCCCTGTAGACAAAGGCTCCAGGTAATGAGCAACTAACTCATAAAGGCATTCATCCCCAGGATCAGACAGCAGGGGCAGGTTTGTTCAGCCAGGGGAAGTAAGGTCTCAGTGTGAAGTGCCTTCTTCCCAGTTCTGCCCCCTTCCTAAGGCCTGGGGAAGGCAGTGTTTGTGGGAGCAAGTAGGGCCTGGCTTTTACCCTTAGGCAGCAGTAGGGACTCAAGGACTGCCAGCTCCATCCAGTTGGGGACACAAGGCTTACGGGAGCGGGAGGGAATCCACCATGTGGCAAGCATGCTACATTTATTATCTCCTTTAAGCCCACAAAAACTCTGGGAGGGATGCTTCTATCCCCATCTCACAGATGAGGAAACTGAGTCTCAGAGAGGGCAAGAGGATGACTTCAGGGAGGCACAGGTAGAAAGGGATTAAGTGAAGCTTGAACAGTATTCTTCAGATAATAGAGCTGTCTTCTCTGTGGTCTCCTTTAAAGTGCACCCCACCCGTGGTCTCCCCTTTCAAGATGTTTAGGCCCCCAAAAGTGTAGATCTCTTGCTTTCTTCCTCTTCCAAGAAGTCATCAATATAGGAGTGAGTTATTTAAATTTACTTAAAAGTCGGTGGGGATCCGAGAGAACCAAGGAGCGTGCAGGATGGCATGATTTCTGCCTTTCTGGAGAGGGCCAGGAGTGTTTTGTCTTAGAGAATGGAGACTGTTACGCCTAGAGGATAAGTACACTTTACCTGTTTCCTCCTCCCTGCAGGCTCGGCCTAAGACTGGGAGCAGGGAGCCTCAGTAAGTAAATAATAGGTATAACTTGGGTTAGGAGGGACAAACCTTATCCCCCTCCTTGTGTGTATCCTCTTAGGAAGGGAGAAGGGGCCGCTTCCTCTGCCTCCCTTTGCCAGGGGCTGTTTCTTCTCTTGGGGGTCTTTGTGTTTGCGTGTTGCGGGGAGGGGGTCCCATGGTCTGCCCTTTGTGGGGAGGTTCTGTTGGTTTTGCCTGGTGTGTGGAAGGAAGTTCTGTGGGTTTATCCTGGTGGAGAAGATTGTTTTATCTTGGGTGGGGGGGATCTGTGTCTGACTTCAGGGAGGGACAGATTCTCCAGTTGTTTCTGGGGGGAAAGGGGTCTGTATGTATTCCTTTGGGGATTTTGCATGTCTGTCTCTGAGTGGGGAGGGTCTGTGCATTGCTTCCTGGTGAACTTGTTTGTCTGTCTTCTGGGGCGGAGGGAGGGAAGGGGGTATCCTCCCCTCCAGCAGCTGCTCTCTGCTCAGCCCAGGGCAGCGATCCCACCGGCCGGCTGCTGCCACCACCGGCGGGTTCCGACACCCTGGATACGAGCGCCCCTGGCGACGGCTGCGCGCTCTGCAGCTCCTCCGGCTGTGTAGGGGATTTCAGCAGCAGAGGCTTCCGTGGATGTTGAACACTTCCTGCCCCGAACAGGAGTCAAAAAACCCCAGCTTTTGTCCCAACTGAGACTTGGTCTCAGTTGCCCCTCCCATGGATCTGGCCCTCATCTCACCTCTCCCTCCTGCCCTTCACCTTAGAGCATAAAGTCTCTGAATGTTGTTTTGCTCCTCTGAACTACCTCCACCCCTCTTTTCCTGGGACCCCTCTTTCGCAATAAAAATGTTCTGCAGTGGACCGAGCTGCCAGGCTCTTTGCACTTGGATTCCTCAGGCTGTTCCTAGAAGGAAGACCAAACTGGCCAGATTGGGGGTTGGGGGCACTACCAAGAAGCAACGGTCCTAGCTCTACTTGGCAGAGGAGCTGAGAACTGCATTCATTCATCCACTCACTCACTCTCCAAACACTGGACGTCTTCGGAAGGTCAGACATGACCTTCTAGTCCTGGCTCTTTGGAGATGACCTTCTGGTGGGGAGGCAGGCCACAAACAAGGAAACAGGCAGAGAGAGAATGGAGTGGGAGAGGGAGAGGGCAAGCCTTCGACTGCCCAGGCAGGGGCACCTGAAGGCAGGCCCATGGGAAGATGGCCGTCGCAGGCGGGGGTTGGGGAGTATGAACACAACTGGGTGGCTCAGGCCTGAGTTCTAGTTTAACAAGCGATCTCATGGTGGGCTGGGAACAACATAGTATGGTGGAGAAAAGCTTGTCTGTGGAATCAGGCCGAGGTTCCAGTTCTGCCTCTACTCCAGGTCTGTGTTGTACTTTATTTTTTTTTCCACAAGGTAACTGGACTTTAGGGGGCAGAAGCTAGGCCAGTTTGGGGGGTGGGGTGGCCAGTGAAGTTTTCGGTTTCTGAGCTCTTTCCTTGCCACACAGCCTGAGAGATGCCTTTATTCATGACGCTCACATTCTTTTTTATTGCACAAAGGTTACATTATCAATGCATCTGGGGAACAAAGTTTCCTGCTTTCTAAGTCTCTGGGTAAGGCTAAGGTGCGTGATTGGCCAGAGGCTCTGGCTTTACCTTTTAAGGCATACCAGTGCCAAGGTGTCTGCTGTGTTTTCCTGGGTCCCCGCCCAAAAGTGTCTAAATGGCTCCCTTCCTGGTTGAACAGAGCAATCTCACGCTAGAGGAATGGGATGGAAACTTGTCTGGCAGGCTGCCCCCCACCGAAGGGTAGGAGACCTGGCCTCACCGGAGTCCGGCATCAGCCCCGTTTGACCCAGACTGACTGACACTAACTATATAAACGTTCTTACCAACTCTCCCAGTGCAAAGCAGCTCCTGAAAGCAGAGCTTGCCCTTCTGCAAGATTTTTTGGTTGGGCTCTGTGTTCCCCGCATTTTGCTGGGTAATGACATCGTGTGATTTTCAAGGTTAGGTTTTATTCAGCTCCCGCTGCGCTGATCATTTGTGGGAAATGCAGAAGGAAATAGCCCCAAGAGCTGTTGGCAGGATTTCTGATGAGCCTTCTGCAGCCCGCATCACAGAGGGCTGGTCGTTGCCTGTGTTTTTCCTTTCTAAATCCCAAGCCTGACATCAGTCCAGGAGATCCCAGGGGCTGCGGGGTCAGGTTTGAGTCTCTTGCTGAGCCAGGGCCATGTGGGCCACCAGCAATGTTTGCAGTTTGGGAACTGATTCTTTGAGCAGGCTCCCTGGCCATGGGCCACATTCCAGCCTGGGGTGGGAGAGAATTACTTGTATATTTATGGAGAGTCATTCACTAGCCCATTTATAAGCTTTATGAGTCGGGGTGACTTCTGAAGGGAGGAGGGTGGTCACCAGTGCAGTCATCGCTTTGGGGACCTCAAGGGGTCAGCCCTCTGTTGGCTCCTGATGTCTGTCTCACACTTAATTGCACTTAAAAATGTCAGATGGAACTTGACGGTGTGAGTGTCTCTTGGAGCCTCAGGTCTGGACTCTTGACAGGGCCTGCTTCTGAGCTGTGTGGTGTTGCAGCAGAGAGGGCTGGTTAGGACAACTGCACACTCTGGAACTCTGCCAGGGCTCTGTCCTGCTCAGAATTCCACCAGGAGAGTGGAGGAGCCACACTGGTGGCCAGGACACCCAAGACTGATACTGTTCCTTGAAAGAGCCTTTTTGTTTTCAAGCAAACAAAATATAACCAGAGACATCGAAATTAAGAACAATCTAACAACAGCCAGCTCACTTCTGGTCTCTCACACGTTTTAGTAATTACTTCTGTTGCCCTGAGGGATGGGGGCTTACATTTCTGCTACAGTTTTCTGGGCCTGGGACTGAAGCTTTAGAGATTCACCCTGCTGTACAGATAATATGTTGAGGGACTCGCCTTGATCCATACTGAAGCTAAGGGGCTGTCTCCCCGCTCCACCACCACTTATAAGATCCTCATCAGCGTCAGAGTGGGGGCATGGAGGGAGACGTTTCCCTGAATAAAGGAGCTCGACGACTTTGGAAGACATTGAGATTTCTCTCTGCACTTGCAATCTCTGATCACAGATATAAATGCAATGAGAGGCTGGCCATGCCTCCGATTTCTGGAGGGGTGTCTACTTTACCTTCTGCAAAAAACAAACAAACAAACAACAAAAACCTAATGATAAACACGCCATGATGATTTTGTGTTGGGCAATGTCTGAGCATCTTATGTGAATGAAATTCCATACTCCATCAACCCTGAGGTGGGTACTCTTTTTGTCATTCTCACTAGAGATGTGGACACTGAGGCGCAGAGAGGGTAAGTAAATTGTCCCAGGTCACTCAGTGAGGAAGGAACAGAGCTCAGTTCGGGGCCCAGGCAGCCTGGCCCCAGAGTCTGTGTGCTCACCTCTCTGCCACATCACCTTGTTGGGTGCTATTTTCTGTTTTTGAGGTAATTTATCAGCTATGGCTGATTGCCAGACCTCAAAGGGACTCCACTAAAAAACAGGTCGCCATATCAAAGGCTTTTTGAAAGTTTAAATCATGTTGATGTTTCACCCCTTAAGGAATTCTAATAAATCACTGAGGCATGAGTCTTCCCCACTACAGCAATGGGGGTTTTCCTTAAGCGTTGAGTGATTGGAGAACCTCATTTTCATTATCCATCTGTTCAGAGGGGTGCACAGGGATTGTTTCGGGGGGGCAGCTGTAGTTTGGTAAAATGAGCACCAGAGATGCACACAGGTTCAATCCCCAGCTGTGCCACTGAACTTAGCATGGGGCCCAATTACTGAGCGTCTTTGAGTGCTGGTTTCTTCATCTTCAAGATGTACCATAAAAGGTGGTGTGGATAAAATCAGTAGGGTTGTGTGAGTTACATCGTGTGGGGGCCTAGCACAACCCTTGGCTAAGTCTGAGACTGCTGTGAGTCCAGGGACAGAGGACTGTACCGGAACCCCGGAGTAGGCCTTTTTCTACTCCATGTTACTTCCGAGACCTTCCCCAAACCCCGGCCCTTTATAGGACAACAGAGCTGGAGACCAAGGCCCAGTGTTGGCTACATTGATTTATTGGAAACACAGGTCAAGACAGAGGTGAACAGAAGAGGAAGAGGAGAGGCTGGGGGACTCTGGTCACTGGCCCCATGGCAGCCCAGGATAGGGTCCTGGTCCTAGTCCTTCCTGCCGTGGAACCTCCTTCCCGTGGACACTAAGGGGACTTCTTTCTGGGGTAGCCTTTCCCAGCGCAGGGTGGGGTAAGTAGGTGCGAGAGAGGCAGGATGGAGGAAGAGGGGATCACAGATACATATGAGTCTACGAGCAGGACGGACCTTTCAAAGTGCAGAAGTGACCCAATGCTTGCTCTGCCCCAGGGCTGGACCAGGCCCTACTGGGCAGGAGAGAAGCAAAGTTGGGGCTTGAGTTTGGGTGCCTAACATTTGCGGCAGCTGCTGGCACAGGAGCCCACGCCGTAGGAGCTGATGCCGCAGGAGCCCACGCCGCAGGTGCCCAGGCCACAAGATGTGACCGAATTGCAGGGGCCGCAGGGTGCGCAGGGCACACACATTCCTGTGTTCACCGCCAGGTTCCCACTGCAGGGGGCGCTGCAGGCACTACCTGTCACCGGCCTGGAACCCGACGTGCAGAGGTCACCGCAGACGACTCCACCCCGGGAGCTGCTGACACCTGCCAACCCCAAAGCCTGAGTCAAAATTCTGAGAGCGAGTTATCTTATCCCCGGATAATCGCCCTCCCCAAGTATCTCTACTTGACAACTCTAGGTCCCCCAGTGCCACAGCTGTGGTCTCTCTGCGGGCTGACCCAACCTCTCCTGCTGGGATGCCAACCCTTCCTTCTCTAGGTAGGTCCCAGTGAAATCCCTCCTTCTAGACTCTGTCATCCCCTATAGGAAGAGTACATCCAGCCACTCAGGGCCTAGGTCACTTACAAACATTCACAGCACCAACACCTTCACACAGTCTGAGAAGAAAGGAAAAGGGCAGTATTAGCCACTCAGCCAGAGTGACAAACAAGGCTCCACAAATTTGGGGGGTAGGTCCAGAAGTCAGGAAGGGACAAGCAGAGGTCTCAGGGATGCCCTTCCAAATTGACCCCACCCACAAAGTGATAAAACGCAGGTTTATCCCAGACTCCTGGACCTTGCTCAGCTCTGAGAAAAGATGGTCATGTTTATGGAGCAAAAATGGCAGGTTAGCCAGGTAGGGGCCCACCTGTGCTCCTCGCCCTCCAGCAGGCGCCTGTAGGTGGCGATCTCGATGTCCAGGCCCAGCTTGGAGTTCATCACCTCCTGGTACTCCTTGAGCAGGCAAGCCATGTCCTGCTTGGCCTTCTGCAGGGCGGCCTCCAGCTCAGCCAGCTTGCAGCGGGCATCGCTGACAGCTGTCTCGCCCTGCTGCTCTGCCTGGGTCACTGCAGTCTCCAGCTTGGTGTTCTGAGGACCCAGAAGAGCACAAGGAGGGTTATGGTCCCCAGGTCTCTCTGTCCATTCCCTGGGTGTGTCCCAGTCCCTCTCAGCCAGTGGGGAACATGCCAGGAGCAGGCCTCATAACCTTCATTATCTGGGTCTACCCTGTGTGACCACTCCTAAGGCTTTGTCAAACTGACTAGAGAACAAATGGAGAAGTACACAGCCTGACAGACCCTGGCTAGGGCCCCCCCAGCCTCTCTGGTGATCCAGGGCACAGAGGACCCGTACCTGGCACTTGGCATTCTCGACCTCGGCTGTCAGCCTCTGGATCATGCGGTTCAGCTCATTGATCTCCTCCTTGGTGCGGCGCAGGGTCTCCCCGTGACGGATCAC